GACAAGGCCGTCGGAATGAGAGATTTGCTGCTCCAGTTTCTTCGTAAGAACGTCATAGGTGAAGTCCTTCGCCCTACCTGCTCCTCTGCAAGGGTGAAGAGATTCTGCGCAGTCCAGGACTTGTTTGGCATCTTCAAGGTTATAGGCGACCTTTTCGGAGATCAGCGTCTTCCGAACATATGTCCGACAAATCACTTCACTCCGGTCGGTACCGTAATTCATGAGCACAGTCTTTTCGATGCTTACGAGTTCACGACTTAGGGAGGCCGAAACATAAGCAATTCCGTCATAATGACGAAACTTGTGCATTGCCCAGTGGTCGTTTGGCCGGACAACGTCTTCAAGTTCAAATGCGTTGTCGCTTTGCCTCGCACTTTCGCAATCTTCAAATCTCAGTTGCGGCTCAACTGATTGCAGCGCAGTTCTTTTTGACGGCTGGTCTTCACAGGTTGGTGGTGAAGCCGCTCTCTTCTTCGTTGACTGCTCCGGTGTGGGCTGCTCGTCAGGACACTTCAGGAGATGAGGTATAATTATGGGTACAGCATCACTGCGAAGTTCCGGCTTTCCCCGCTCTATATATACTTCTCGGCCTTCGATAATATGTACATATTGCCTTAGTATGTATTTTTGCTCGAAGTGCAGCTCGCAAATGGCATCGGTGACTTGCAAGGGCCGATCAGCGCGGTTGAGATTCTGGTCCCATAGCCGGCGTCTTTCTTCGTCTTGAGGTACTCCAAAGAGTGAGAGCTTGGGCTGGTTTTAACTCTGCTGTATCCGGTTTGGCAGCCTACGACACAACAGTAATTTCTACGCCTAGACGTGCTCATCCTCTAATCTTTTGAAGCAGCTTGGAACGCTCCGTTATGCAACCAGCAGACACATATCTGCGCACGCAAACGTGCCGTCTGCCGCGTATTCTTTGTCCAGACGGCTTTGCTCAAAGGGAAATACAAACCTACGCGTTCACGAAAAAAAGCATACATTTTATTTCATGTCACTTGTTTTTGTCTCTAATAATGTGTAAAAAAAGAACCAGGAGACAAATTGTGAAAACAGCGCACGAACGACGGTGCATCGAACAGACGACGGCGCGTCGAGCAGACGACAACATCGAGCGCTCAGCGTCCCCGCCAGCGCGTCGTGCGGCCCGAACCGCCGCACGACTCGCACGCTCCCGCCGAAACTGACGTCACTTCAGGAGAAGGCTACTGCAGCGCCACCAAATTTTCCGCCGTTTTTGCTTCACCCGCACCGCTTGCCGCCGGCCACAGTGGACCCACTCCCCCATTCTAGTACACTCTACACACCTCTACCCATTTTGACAGTTGGCTTGGAATGGCTTGGCTACTTGACTATCTAAAATGGTGCCGCATAGTCAATGGTTGCCAGCTGCTAGTTTGTTATTACGCGCTACAGTGGCATATAATGACTAATTTAAGGCGGTGACATTTGGGAACACACTGTTTCAAATTGACACTTTGAAATACTAGGCTCGATGCCTAAGCCAATTATTTACGCGTGTCTCATTAAGCGAAACGCGTAATTTGATAATTTTCTGCCAAAAAAGAAACAAATGAGGTGAAAATATACAATAACTTTATGACTGTATGAAATGAACGTGTGAAGAAAGTTTTCACATATGAAATGCATCTAGTTGGTGCGCAAAGGTCTTGAGGAATTGTATCTAAGTGCTCAGTGCAATGTGCTGTAATCCCCAAAAGGTCATTGACAGGACCTTTTCCAGACCAATTGTTGTCCCAGATAGCACTCGAAAAAACGTTTGAACTGGCGCTCGCGCGTTGCTTTTGTCCTCTTCAAAACGTCCTTAAAAGTACTTTTTCGGTGTAAATTGTTGTTCTCAGAAAGCACTCGAAAAGACGTTTCTGGGTCAAACCAGCTTGTGTCGTCCTCAGTAAGTACTAAGGTCAATGAGAACTGTGCGAGGACGATTGTACCATATGAGGACGACCTCAGGACATCGAGTGTTGTCTGGGATTGGCAAAAGTCGGCAAAAAAACTGCAGGAAAAGTTATAAGGCTCGCATGTAGTCAAATTATTCAGATACGAGCATGATTTCTCGGTTCTTTTAAATAGTAATTCTTCTATGTTCCACTCGTTTGCGACTCAAACGATAGGTGTGTTCGAAGATTGTTTAAAGCCTCTTGTGTTGACACATGAAATGCCCGAGAATGACAAAATACGCTTTTCGGATTTAAGACTGGTTTTTAGCTCACACCACAACTGTTGGTGTTATGAACCACGTGCGCAGAAACCTCTACTTCCTTTTTCTTCCGCTCACAGCAAGTTAGTTAAGCGAGGCATAGCACAAACCTGTCTTGAGAATGCCTTAAATAGGTCGTGCGCCCACAATATCTGCGAGCTTCAAAGCTCAAGTTTCCTGGCTTAAGGCTTCGGGTTTCCCCGAGGCGTTTATCGCTTCCGTTGCTGAGGCTATCCCGCGGAATAACAAGGCAGAGCAGAGGCAGCGACAGAATCCGAGCAACATGGATACAGAACGTGAAAGGATAACCGTGATTCCATACATACACCAGATATCTCATGGGCTCAATAAAATTGGAAAACGTGTTGGAGTTCGTGTCCTTGTCTCGGCACCGTTCAAATTAATCAGCCTCATCAAATCTACAAACCCCCTGGAAACGCAGTCATCAACGGAATGCAGAGTTCAACATAGAAACAGGTATGCTCCTGGGAAGTTGTCTATATACCCCCCTTTCATGCGGTGCTTGTGATGTCGGAACGACCGGAAGGTGTCTGCACGATCGGCTGAGAGAACACGCTAACAATGTTAGAAACGGGAAAGACGTACCTCCCACTCCCCCATCCCCTGCGCGGACCCGTGTCGGTGCCTTCGTGTTGAAAGACAATAACAGCTCCACGCTTTTCTCTTCACTTTCCTCATTCAAGAAACTCTATCAACGGGAAAGATGGTTTTCTTGCACTGCACTGAGTGCAATTGTGTGCCCCTTTTCAAGGACACAGCGACGCTGTACAAGCACAAAGAGCAGCGCACCCGAGTCATTGTCGAGGCCGCGCACATGGCACGCGAATAGGTGCCTTGCATTAGCAAGCCCTCTGTGGCTCTGTCCGAGAAGGAACTAAGGTTCCTCGAAGGTTTCGGTGCGAGCAAGTAGTTATATTATCTTTACTTTTCTGTTTCGTTTCCTTTTAGATTTTTCTTTGCCATTTTTTGTGCTATTGTTTTTTGTTTGTTTTTTTTTATCTCTAACTCATGTTCTGCTCTTTGTACCATATGGTTTTTGTCACATGGTTACTGTCTCCTCTATACATTTTCGCGCTCTGCGCAATAAACTCAGTCGGAAGTTAGCGCTCGTGTCTTTCGTGTCCATCTTGTCTCTGTGTCGTCATTTTGTTCTCGCGCTATAACTATCGTCATGCCGGGACAGCTTCTGGTTTGATGGCGCTGACGGCGCAACAAGCTTCCGCTAGCAGACGAAAACGCGTAGCCGCCGTAGCAAGACGCTATGGCGGCCGTTTTGAAAGAGCTTTGCCAAAAGTATATTATCACGATTTGTTCTTGCGTTGCCGCAGAAACTTATTACTGCGTAATCTCTAGCGGTGTAAGGCAAATACAGTATAATGATGGCTTTCGGAACTGCCCACGATAAACAATGCTATACGAGTCTGTCAGTTAATTGGTAGTGTACATACGCAATTGATTTCCAGGTGCGAGAAACCCAATCACAATGTCTTGTATCTTTTCTTGTGACTGTGGTATTCGAGCCTTAAAATAAACTTAAACTATGTGGCGCAATTCCGTGGCTTTTGTCTGATTGTGTAGTCATGCAGCTTATTTTTTTTTTTTCATGTCAGTCACATTCTTTAGCAACACACATCGTCGAAAAGCTGCGCGTGCCACCCTTTTCTCGTGCATGTCTTTCCTCTGCTTCTTCTTGAGTTCTTCTAATGAAAGCTGTTAACGCAGCTGAAGCCAAAGCGTCGAGCATGGGACCGCACTTTGAGGTATCGGTGAGCACTTCGTAGTCACTCATTACTCACGAGGGTGCCTGCCGGGGCATTGGGATGAACACACTTCCGGCTTTTCTATGTCCTCCAGAAGTTCGGCCTATTGGGTGATGCTATCTGCATTGCCGGGCGACTTGGCTATGCGATGGTGACGGCTCCTAATAATGACGGCCATGTCTTGTGTGACGACTACGCATTTCTCCACAAATAGCGCTCCTTTTTTTTTCTTTTAGCACTACAAACCCCCCAAGACGACCTATCTCACCATTCTCAAGAACTTTCCAACAGCATGCAGCAGGCAAACAAAGTTTTCTATGTCTTGAAGCGAAATGACGCCACTCGTTCACGGCATGACGGCACTTATTTCACTGTATTCGAGCTCAGTTCTCGGAAATAGTCTGTTCTTTTTCGCCGATGATATTCTGGAAAGTACGCCACTCCCATCGGGCAGCTTTCGCTCCTTTGTCACGGGTTTTGAAAGGTAAGCGGGCAAATTCAGGAACATCCATAGAAGGTATCCTTCGACAAGGTCCTACATTCCTCTGGCAATTTGTACCTTCTTACCATTGATGATGTGAGTGAAATTCTTCAGGATGTCTTCCCTATGAAAAGTTAATATCACACACACGCGATGGGTTGGACAGTTTCTTATCAGCACGAGCAATAGCGTGGTCCCATGCCTATCGCTGCTGAGGTACACGCGGGGCACAAAATAAATGTCATGGTGTCTCTCATTTCCTGTAGGCACTCGTACAGCTGGAAACGCCACATTTAGGCATGATGACAACAGGCAACACATACAAAGCAAAGCACGCTGAAGCACTAAACTGCAGAAAGAAGCCTCCACGGATAGCGACCCACTGCAACGCGCAGAGCTGACGGAGGTTACGAGAGTGACACTAGCGAGCATGCAGTGAGTGAAACCGGATGCGACAGCAGCGCTACATTTGTCGCTGGCAGCGGCGGCGCCGCGCAACATCGCGCAACATCGCTCAGTTTTGCAGCTTACCAAGTTCTAGAAACTTTGGTTTTTGCTTCCTACCAAAACAATGGCGGACGCCTTATTTCGAATACCGAAACTCAAAGTCAAAGTGTCTGGCCCCTGCGGTCAACGTGAAGTTATGATGCTGTAAGTGAGCTTTCTAGGACGACTCGCCTCGGATGCGGTACTCCATGCGCGCAGGAGGAAGCGGGTGGTGGTAGGCACGAATAACGAGAAGCTACGAACGAAGCAAGACACACCAAAACTTTATGAAAGTGAAGCGAGACATCGTAGGATGAATCCCCAACTGGAAGCGTTGGTCGGCTGTGGGTACGTATAGCTGTACAGCTTTGTAGGATTTGTTCGTTCGTCGGCAGAGCCATGGCAGAGTGAGGATTCTTGGACACTGCAGTCGTGCATTAATCCAGCTTTCTTTTCTCGCTACCATTGCTTCGCCCATCAGTGTTGAAAGGTGTCGACTCGGAGTGCGTTTGCGTGAAAACATTTGGAGACGTCGAGTGGTGGTGGTGGTGGAAAAACATTTCTGGAGGCACTGTTGCGAGCGCGTTCTGACATTTCGATATTCGTGCCGGAGCACGAGTCAGGTCGTTAGGACACGGGAGGGCTATGTAACAGTGAAGCCAGCCGAAATCGTTACAAGAAGGCCCGGTCCCCTCTTTGGCTGGTGATAGTACATTGTCAAACGCAGAATGTCGCTCTCAAGGCACCGCTAGCGGCATACCTTCTTTGACAGTGACAATAAGTCTTCATCCTCTCGTGAACTTCTGCCTAGTTCATAGCTTGGTCATAGCAATACTTGCGTTCATACACACAAGCAGCCAATGTATCTGCGGGAGCCAGCCGAAGACCTTGCTTCCACGCACTGGGTGACCAGCAGCTAGCTTGCCGGCACTGTGGGGCTGGCATAGGGATATTCTCCAAGTAGCTACTGCACGCGTGCAGAATTTCACTAAATATCCCTGCATCTTGTATCGTATGCTTTGAAAATTTCACAAAGCAGATCGGCAGAGTGCTTTTGTGTTCAGCTCACTGTTCAGGTCACGGTGCTCCTTTGACACGCTTCTGAACTCGCTATATTTTGCAATGTCACTGGGCGAAGTTGGTTGGCTAATTGTATCATAGAAATGTTGTCTTTTTTTGTTCTTGTCTTTTTGTGGGCTACAACTGATTTGGGGTCTCAATGTCTTGTTTACTTGTGTGCACGGAAATTGTTAGCCATGATGCAGGATCGTTTGCTCAGACTATACACGCCTAATTAAATGCATTTCACTGGAACACCACAGCACTTTATTTCCTGAACACTTTAGTGGTATGACTTATTTATTAATGTTGAGCCATGAAAATAGTACTCACTGAAAAACATTGTTTGGTGTAGCAGAAGACGTTACTGCACATTGGCTACTGTGCTACTCGTTTGCAATAATGTGCGCTCACATTCTCAAAAGTAGATTGCGAGAACAAGGTTACTATAAACAACTGTTCGAATTTGATTGAATTAAAGGGCATTATAGCCTATATTCGGTTCATTGCTGCAGAAAACATTAGTCTTGTTTTTTGAGCAGGAAATTCGTGCAGAATTAAAGGAGAGCCACTCACTTATTGAAGAAAGCCTATAAGTGTATTGCTTTGAGCAAGAGGGCACATGCACTCATTTTGTAGTTCAAAACAAAAGGAAGTAATTGTGATGTTGTACTGCAAGCGGGAAGGTATGCACGACCCTCTAAATACTAGCTCATTTCTTTGTACTTGCATCCTTATTACTTCCACAATTCGAGCACTGACAAAGAGCGAAAATTTGTTGCGGAAGGACACATGGTCAAGCTATTGGCAAATGTTACACGGTGGCAAATTTCACAATGTTGAAAGGGAAGCTTAAACTAATCAACAATCATGCTTCAGCAGCGCCTCCTCTATTTTTTTCAGTGCCCGGGCAAACGCTCTTTTCAGGTTGTCGAGCGCACGCTCTGCCTCCGCTCACCGCTGCCGCATGATGGAGCTGTGCGAGTAGACTGCGGGATTAGAGGCCAAATTAGAGGGAAGTGGACTGGGCTTCAAACTCTCTTTCGTCAAACAACGAAAACTCATTGAACAGGCACTAACAGCATTGATGTACGCAAATGATATAGTGCTAATGGCCGACAACCAGGAAGATTTGCAGAGATTGTTGGACATCTGTGGTAATGAGGGAGATAGGTTAGATTTCAGCTTCAGTAAGGAAAAATCAGCAGTCATGATTTTTAATGACAATGAAGGTAGTGAGCTTAGAATATAGGAGGTCACGCTAGAGATAACAGATAAATACAAATATCTGGGCGTATGAATAAGCAATGGGGTCGAGTACCTAAGGGAACACGAAACATACGTGTAGACTAAAGGTAACAAGAATGCAGCAGTAATGAAAAACAGGGCACTGTGGAATTACAATAGGTATGATGTTGTGAGAGGATTATGGAAAGGGGTCATTGTTCCTGGTCTGATGTTCGGAAATGCGGTCTTGTGCATGAGATCAAAAGTTCAAGCAAGATTAGAAATTAAGCAACGTGGAGTAGGTAGGCTTGCCTTAGGAGCTCACAGGAATACACCAAATCAGGCAGTACAAGGTGATATAGGATAGACGTCATTTGAGGGCAGGGAAGCTAGCAGCAAGATAAAATTTGAGAAGCGATTGAGAGAAATGGGGGAGGAGCATTGGGCTAGGAAGGTATTCAGCTACTTGTACATGAAGAATGTCGATACAAAATGGCGGTGTGAACCAGAAAATTGACTGGTAAATACTTGGAAAACAGCAGGGGGCCAAACCAAAAAGAATTATCGGTTAAGAAGGTGAAGGAAGCCGAGACCGATAAGTGGAGAATTGGCATGATTAAGAAGTCCCCACTAGAGATCTATCGAACTTTTCAGCAGGAAATTGCCAAAGAAAGGATCTATAGTAATACTTGGGGTAGTTCTCTACTGTTTGAGGCCAGGACGGGAGTATTGCGAACGAAGACATATCGGGCCAAATACGAAGGGGTAGACACGGTATGCAGTGCGTGGGGAGAGGAAAAAGAAACTGCGGAAAACTTGATATTATTCTGTAAAGGGCTTCACCCTATAGTTCAGGATGATGGCGCAGAGTTTTTCAAAGCACTGGGGTTTAGGGACAGTGAGGGCAAAATAGACTTTAAGTGGGTAGAATTAACTAGAAGGAGATTATCTGATTGGTGGCTAAAGTCAAGGCACGAGTGAAAATTAAACCCTTCACTGCAAAGTACGAATCCTCAACCTCACTATTTAAGGGAAAAAAAAAATATAGTTTTTGTTTCATTAAGTATTACGGCTTGGTGGCGCTAGCCACCGCCCAATCTAAAGGGTACAGCCATATACATCCATCCATCCAGCGGGATGCTGGGGCTGAACGGCCGCACCTATTAGGAAGCTCGCAAATTCGTGTTTTCATGCGAGTTAATTTGCAGTCATGCTTCTTGGCGGCGTTCACGGATGCAGGGAGGATGAAAAGTAACACGAGCATAGTGGTGTGCTGTTTTCACAGGGCTCTGTCAGGCCATGCTGCCAGTTCGATATATGCATTTGAGTTTTATAGCATTCGCACTTTATTTTTTCTTTCAAGCTGTTGCAGCCTGATTATTCGCATGCTGTGACCACTCTGCATATCTGACGGAAAAAAATCAGATAGTCTTTTTTCATGTCATAAGTTAAAAAAAAAAAGCTCACCTGCCCCTTATGGATTCACCTGAGATGACTAAAAAGCAAAAACTGTCCTCGTTTTCTTCCGATGGAATGCACTGAATGCTTCCTACTTCCCTCCGTGATATTTCTGCACCCAACATGGTTGTCTTACTGCCTCACGGATTGGAGACAAAGCTAGCTTTCCACGCCTCAGCTGGTTATGCACTGCCCTTATGATCGGCCCATTTCTACCATGCGAAGATGTTATATGATGCTGTCAAGTTATGTGACCTTCTGATACATCACAAACAATTATGATGTGGCACATCATATAATGGGGTTTTTGCGTAATGATGATTTCTTGCATCACTCGTGTTCACGTCGCCGACACGAGAAGACGGTGGACGCCGCCGGCGATCAATTTTCGCTTTTGATGAGGCACTTAAAGCTGTCACCTTAATGCACTATACGGCTATAGCTCCATGAAATTGCAGCTTCTGCTGTTGTTTGGGGGAATGTGCTTGCAGTAATCAGGCAGAATAATTTGTCTCCTAATAAATTTTCGTACTACACTATAATATGTAACCGTCATTTACAACCTGAGTATTTTATAGATTATAAGTAGTGGCGGCTGAAGACTACCGGTCACGTTTGGCAACATGACAATTGGTATCACTGAACGGGAGTGTGCTTCATCCTAAAAGCAAAAAAGTGAGCCTATCAGTAACAACGCTTCTTCGCGATCACTGCCATGTGCAACGCTAACATTACGCCCCAAAGCTTACTGGGAGCACCACACAGGCATTCGGCTCTACTCTGCTCGCTACCGACTTAAAAGGCCAGAGTGAAGAAAAAAGAAACAGAGCTGAGCAGCCAGATATTAAGGCTACAACGATTCGTCCAAGAATACACAGACAAGCTCAAGCAACTGACCACAGGCTGCATTTTTCATGCCTGTCACCATGGCTCAAGTTGAGAGTCTACATTAAACTTCAGACTTTAACAGCACCTGTTCAAAACATAGGCAATGATCGCAGAAATCGCGCCCCATATAGGGCTGTTCTTGTTTATTTCATGATGATTTCACTGTCTAAACTATCAAATGGTGAAATCACCTACCATATTTTCTAATTTTCTGACACTTGCTTCTTCTCGGTTGTAACACATGTGATGCTTTGCGAAGGTAACGAATGATGACCTATATCCCTTGAAGCAGTCTAGTGGCCTTTTGTGCTATTTAGTGCATGAACTCCAGGCTTGCGCATAATATGCTACGCCTCTAGAGAGTGCCAAATCGCGGCGTCTAAAGTGCGGACTCGGCACCAATGTATGTTCATGCATGTCAAAGACTTAAGTATAAATACAGCAGAATTATCTGGAATAAAAGATTTTTGTTCTGGCGCTTACTCAGGGTGTTGCTGCTACAGCCCGATAGTGCAGTGGCGACGAGGATGGGATTTAGCTGAAACACCCCCTGCTAGCGCGATTGGCAGCAGCACGCATCGGACGGACGATGGCATCACGCCCCTCGGGGTTCGACGAAACGGTGAGCAGCTGGAGCACGTACCGGATATGCCTGGAAGCTTATTTTGAGGGAAATGAACTCCCCGACAGTGCAAAGCGCCGCGCTCTTTTGGTGT